GGCTCAATTACTCGTCATTTTTCAGAGTCAGGTATGCAAGGCTTACTGAAGTTTAGTCCAGCGACCTTGAAGCTGAGAGCCTTAGAAAGAAGTTGCGTTCCATTCTGTTTGGTTCTTGTCATTGATTGGGTCGCCGAACTAGGCGTGACGTGTGGCCTGCATGGTTCCGTCGCTGGCCTTGAGAGCGCTTCCCTCCTGTTCCTCTTGTCTGATGTAGGCCTAGTCCTACGGTCAGCAATTTTCAGACTGGGTCTGCCAGCTCCATAACTACACCCTACTTGGTGTAGTTTTTTCCAAGTCACCGTCAGCAAAACTAGTAGATAGTTTAAGCGCCCAAATTGCAGCTTGTCGCGGGGCATTCTTAAAACTTTGCACGACAATCTGTGTCAGTGGATGCTGTGTCATTATCACTGTCGCAGTTATCGGCTTTGAATTTCGACAACAGATTCTTAGTTATCATGGTTAGAAGTGTTTTTGCTTCTTCTACCAGGGTGTTTGTCTGTGACGAACCGATTAAACTTTCCGAACAGTATTAGTAGCAAAGATATTCTGAACAGATGATTAAACCGACGCCCAATTTATCCGTCGGCTTGGAACGCGACCTATCTGCAGTAGCTTCACACTACATATTTTCCGGTGCTCCGTATCCATTGATTTTTTCATACTAAAGTTAATATACAACAAATGCACCTCTTGAATGATGCTGCTTACGCTAATGCAAAATGTACACGAAGTCTGTGTATAAATACCGCCATTTGGACTATCGATCATTTCAACATCTAAATCAATCCAATACAACAAATATTCCTGGTGGATTTGATTTCTGTTACCTTTAAGCGTAACACAGTGACCTGGAAGTGCATTTATACAGACATACACTTTGGTTATATAACTGGATACTTTATTGATACTCCAGTTTGTTTCAGTGGGTCCTTTGTGGTTAGTAAAGCTAAAAACTGAAGATCATTCTAAGGAGTAGACTGTTACATTACTAAGTAGGGAACTATGCGGATGGACTAACAACGTTGGTCGGTTATAACGCAAGCCATGAACACTACGCGCTTTTGATATTGATAGTGGGACCTATCTGTGTGATGAGTTATGAAAATCCACGCCCGTCTCATGAATTTCAGCAAATTTTAATCAGATTCTACACACTATTGACTTGATATATCAGTTATTTAATACTGGATACCAGTTTGTAAACTCTCGAAAATTATGAATTTGACGGTGCTTGTAGACTGGTATCACTCATGTTAAACCCATTATATGGGGATAATATTTATTACCATCAAAACCTTGACACTGTATACGCTAAAAAGTAATATTTCCTTGTTCGTTTCATAACTAGCGGGATCTTCTGCTGTTTTGAATAGAGCTAAATAACATTCCGTCTGTACCACTCAGGACTCGTAAAGTCCAGTGGATATTTTGAGACGTGTTAACTTGATGAAGCCTGTAAGCTGGCTTCCCTCATGTTAAACCTTTTAAAGTGAGAATAGAACATTCTTCCACCAGAGTGCGAATATTCGAGCAGCACGATATACAAAGCCAGACACTTAATGCGTTGTTGTACCCCTTATATGCTGAGGTTGTCAGGCTTGTGCAATTAATCTGGGGCCAACTCTTACATTCGCTACACTACGTACCTGAGGCCACCGTGAAGTGGCGCCCGGCCCTACCACAAGCATTTTTACAACACTTTTGACCCACTACGTAGCAGAAACTACAGAAGTTCACTCAGTAAGAGTTTCGATTGGAGGAAAAATAAAACAACCTTTGATACGTAAACACAAAAATGCCAAGAATCCAGCCGGACGTGAAAAGTCACTCCCCTCTTCAAACAGCGTGCCCGGCGCCCAAAGAGAAATATGTGACGCCGAAAATGCATTGTGCATCCAGTATTCAGTTGCAGGGCTGTGGTGGTATTCAGCTGATCGTCAGAAATACATACAGCCCTCAAAGCACACATTATGGCTAAATGAAGGGAGAAACACTGTGTACTGTCCGGATACGTTTCCACACTCTTCGCAAACTCCGCTCAGGACGAAAATGCCTAATACAAATTGAGGAACTGTAGTTGAAAAGATCTGCTGTGTAATGGACCGTTCTTCGCATGACTTTCTGTCTCTTATGACTGTACGAGCATCCTACAAGTGAAAACCGTTCCTGAGTTATTAGTGTCTAAGTAGTGTACCTGAATATAAAAAATAATCTAATTTACATTGCTTCAGAACATAGAATTTCACCCGGCTACATCTTTTTTGTCACAAACCACTGATGCAGTCAGCCTAGAAAATCATAAATGGTTAGTTAAGTGCTGCGGAGGTCCTTGTTTAGTTGGAGTTTTATGCCGCCCTCCTGCAGCTGATGCCACGCTAAATAAAATGTTAATACAGTCCATTAGAGGAGCCCTGGAATTGAACTTCTCACAGGTCCTCACTCCGGGAGATTTTGACCTTCCCCAACTCTTTACCATAGAAAGTCCATCTACTGCTCTAAAAGACTTTCGGGGATTGTTACTGGAAAGCTCCTTGACAGAACGTGTTTCCCAGTGCACTCGCTGGGGGCCTGACGGTAAAGCATCCCGACTAGACTATATTATCACAAATCAGTTCACTTTGGTAAGCAACTTGAATGTTTTCAGCCCTCTTGGCCCAGGTGACCATGCAGTTATCTCCTTCAATATTTTTGTATCTAAGCCCCCTCTTCCCGATCAGCCTCTAGTTAGGAATTACAGGAGAACTGATTTCGAGAAGGTTCGGCAAGATCTAGAAGGTCCCGCTTGCTTAAATTGCGATGACCTACTGGGAATTGATGCTAGATGGGGTCTGTTGAAGAATATAACCCTCCAGACCATAGAAGACGCCACTCCTCTGATCTCAAGAGGAACTAACAAGTTCTACTCTTCCTGGCTCAAGTCTAGCAGGCGCAAACTAATACGGCGTAAACGGTCGTCTTGGAATCTATGGAGGTGCACTAATAGCCCTTTTCACTGGCTAAATTATGAAGACATCTGTAACAAATGTTCAGTAAGGATCAGAAATGACAGAAAAAACCACCAGACAACTTTGTAGAACCCTGGAGGGGAATCATGGGATACTGTACTGGTTGATGAAACAGAAGAGTAACAGTTCACTAGGTTTACAGGACCTCATTAGTTTGGAGATTCTCGATTCCAATTACGAAGTTGCAAACCTATTAGCTCATAAGTCCCAAAACGACTGTGATTTGGGGGGCAAAACCCCACATCTGTCGGACACCCATATCACAGAGGGACTAAATCATATAGAGTTTAAACCCATTGTAATTATGGAAATATTGAAGAAACTGAACCCGAATAAGCCTCCAGGAATCGATGGGATTCACCCATCAGCACTCAAGGAGTGTGCTGAAGTTCCGTGTGCCCCACCAGCAAACCCCTTCAACTGCTGGTTTCTGGAAGGCAGGTTGCCCTCTGACTGGAAACGGGTGGCTGTCGTCACACTTTATAAGGGTGGAAACAAACTACTCGCCTCCAACTACAGACCAATCTCCCTGGTCTCTTCAGCTGCGAAGGTCATGAAGAGAGTCATAAATGACTCACCACGTGATCACTTACTTCAGGATCCAATCCTAAACGACTGTCAGCATGGTTTTTCACCAGGAAGGCCGTGTAATACCAACTTGTTGATAGCTTGGAATAGCTGGACACTCTCTGTCGAGAAGAAGAAGCCTATACACATTGGTTTACTTGACTTTTCTGAGGCCCTTGATAGGGTAAATCATGATATCCTGCATAAGAAACTCCAGCTCATGGGTGTACACGGAAAATTATTAATCTGGCTTAGAGATTATCTGTACAACAGGGTGCAGTCGGAGTCGGCTCCACTCTATCTGACTGGTTCCCGATGCTGGGTGGTGTGCCTCAAGGTTCCATACTGGACCCACTACTGTTTCTTGCTCTTATCAATGACTTACCAGGGGTCCTTAATTCACATTCACCATTATATGCCGATGATCTGGAGATCTGGAGGGGAATACAGGAACCAACGGATATTTCGATCTTCTAGGAGAACCTTACGGAAATCCCTGGTTGGACTACAGAAAACCTGCTTCCTCTCGACTCGAAGAAGTGTCGAATTATGATAGTTGACAAACATAAAATTAGTCCCAGTTCTTACTCTCTAGGTGAAACAGATATCTGTCACTCCAACATGGAACAAGATCTGGGAGTTACACTAGATGATGCACTAGGAGCCTCAGTTCACTGCCGCCTTGTGAACCTTAGGGTGTCTAACTCCTTCTCTTTTCACCACAGTGCATGCTCTGTACATTCGTCCTCATTTAGAAAAAAATTCGCTTGTAATGTCCCCATACTTGAAAGGGATATTGCCATCCTAGAACGGGTACAGAGAAGAGCTACAAAGAAAGTGATTGAGTTACAACAAAAACCGTTCCCGGACCGCTTAGCTGCTCTTCAGCTGCACCCAGTACAACACGGGAGGATCAGAGGGGATATGATAATGATGTACCACATCGCCCATAATCCCCTCCATCCCAACAGATCCCTTCTAAGTTTTAGTCGGATGTGCGACTTGAGGGAATAGGGCATGAGAGAGCATGTACAAAGATCGGTGCTAACTCATTTGCACTCAGAGTCTGTAAACTGTGGAATTCCCTCCCTTCAGCAGTTGTTACAGTCCCATCCCCTGATGCCTTTAAAAGGAGGCTAGACGCACACCTCGAGTCCTACGGTACTCGAGAAGCTTTCCCCAGATCAGATGCAGTAATACTAACTTGAGACCAGATTAATTAATTAATCGTATCTCTATTCTTTCAGGTTTTTCAGAACTGGGAAGAAAATTGTGACCATTCCAAACTCAGAACGTATTCCAATAAGACAGACGTAGAACCCAAGGAACCACAGTTCGCTAATTCTACAGTACGAAGTTTGAAGTTTATTTACGGATTTCTAATCTAAGGTGAATCGAATTGTCGTTTGAATACATCGAAAGGTCGTATGTTTAAAGGTCGTGATTGCTTTAATAATGGTTTCATCCGGTGATGTACTGGTTGAGGCATCTGCCCCCAAAAAGGCGACTGAATCACCTTGGGTTGAGAAGTACAGACCAGTCGAGCTCAAGGACATAGTGGGTAATGAAAACACTATCAATCGTCTATCTGTATTTGCTCGAGATGGCAATCTGCCGAATATTATTATAGCTGTAACTTGTTATGTGTCTGTTAACGCCCTAACAGGGACCTCCAGGTTGTGGCAAAACTACAAGTATTCTTTGCTTGGCTAGGACGTTGCTGAAGGATGCTTACAGAGAGGCGGTCCTGGAACTGAATGCGTCGAATGACAGGGGTATCGAAGTGGTCAGAACTAAAATCAAAATGTTTGCACAGAAAAAGGTGACGCTCCCTGAAGGAAGACAGAAGATCATTATTCTTGATGAAGCCGACAGGTTGGTGTAATTGTCTTAATCTCTAAAAAGACTCGAAATCGTCTATTTTCTTCATATACTCAGTACTAAGGACAGTACACTTCAGCACATCTTCCATGATGCTTGATATCGTACTAATAAATGTCTAGGTAGGTCAAGTTGCTATGAAGAATTGCTACGTTCACTTTCGAACTGATTTCGCACGTTTTCATTATTGGAGCAAGTTTGGATGAGTCTTCTATCGGTATTCAGTAATAAGAATAGTAGGCTAGGTGCCCTGTGATAATTCTTGTTGTAGATATCTTTATGAAAATCTAGTTCCCACTAGAACGCGTTCATTGAAGACGCTGACTCAACTTATTGGCGTGAAGAGTTCCAGTCACTAACCGTTTAATGGTAGAAACGTCGACTCATGCTAAGTTGGTTAGATCGTGGTTTATGAATTTGCTTGCGATGTTCTCGGAGTTAATTCATAGTAGCAGGCAAGAAGAGAGAAAAGTTTTTCACCAGTCATTATTAAGGGCAATGAATGCGAGAATATCACTTCTTTTCCTACAGTAAGCGGGAATAAATTCTGTCGATGAAATTGTTCTTCATAGGAAAATTGGGAAATCTATCCATAAACCTAGTACTAACCTACCGAACCCGTCCAAGTACGTTGACACCCCTTTCTAGAGATGTACTGGCTGCCTGAATTCTGTATCTTAACTGGAGTTTAAGGTACGTAAAATAAATTATCGTGAACATATCCTGATGATAGTTTTTGATGGCTTTTGCATGGGCCATAGCAAACGAAAGCCTTTCGCTGCAGCTGCATTGTATTGTGCGGGAATTTTCGAATCATGGCCCAAGATGAAACCTGAGTGTTTTCGTTCGGAGACAGAGTAGTGGTATGTTATCAACGGAATACTGGGGTCTGCAGAACAAGAGGAACCGGCGGTTGGAGACTAGGTGATATGGCTCAGAACCGATGTTAGTGGCGTAGGTGTATACATGCTTTATCCTCATCTTAATGACGCTATACCGAATCTCACCGTTTCCTCATTCTTCCTTTCTCTCTTTTAGTACTTTATATTTCCTTTGGCTGAATTTTCTTTTCTTGATCTTTCACCTCACTACCTTTTTACTTGATGTACTGATATGAGCTGTGGCAACTTGGACCGTTACGCAGTAATGCCTGCTCCTATGTTGATATTGATGATGATGAGGTTTGTTAAACAGGAGTTTCCAGTCCGGAAACTTACTATGGTGCTAAAAAGTTATTTGATTCAGCGTGGTTAAGCACCTTTTCATGAATAATTTTTTCAAAAAAACCTTAATGACCATAGTCGTTGTACTCATAAGATGAAACATACTAAGTGAAAACTACTGGGCTTAAAACGGTTGATTATGACACCTTTCCAGTCCTTAGAGAGGCAAATGTGATAATATGTTGAAAAGATCAGAAACTGACTCAGCAACGATATTCGCTAGCGACAATAAAGATCTGATCCGTGAACCATCAAGATCCGGGAAATTTTTAGGCTCAAGATTAATGAGAGACTTTCCTTTGAAATAATGACAGGAAAGATTTGTACCTTGGAAAGTGGAGGATAGTGATTGTTTGTTCTCCGAGCTTTGAGGTTTGTCCTTGGATGTTGGATCACTAGGCTAAGTGACTTCATCCGCACCTACTTTATACGGATGTGAAACATTTCTAAGTTGCGTAAATGTTTAAAAAAGTTATTTGCCGACTTTGAGGGTTATTAGCATGCTGATAGAAGTGGACTGTCCTAATTTCTTATCCGAGGGTAACGTTTGTAATTGCTGTTATTGTCTAATTTATGCTGCTGACCTTATGTCTGATAATTGATTTGCTTGGTTGATTTCTACTTAACAGACCGATAGCTGCTATCTAAACGTAATGGTTGGGGTTGTATATCACAACGATCTCTTGAGCTACGTTCTGAAACACTTGTTGCCTTGAGGTTCTACCATACGAGGAAGGTCTGTTGGGTAGTGGTAACACGGAAAGTGATTGCTGATATAGTGTATTGCCACGCTATGATGGGGGTCCGAGGACTAAGTCGTATTGCTGGCTGGATGGGGTATGACAACAGTAAGGTATTTCCCTGGGATGACTAGTAGTTCCATGCGTATGCTCTCTTCCCAATGGGAAGGGGGGAGGGAAGGGTGTTGAGACCTAAAAACACCCTGCAAGGGCCGCATGTGGCAGGCCTAAAGTAGATGTCTCATGGGCTTTGTGATCATACAAATCTTTTTCTCTTTCAGGTGATTTAGGAAGAAACAGCCTTCCATGGTTGTGGGCAGCCGAAAAATGTCAACCGCCCTTACGCTCCCAGTAGTACACAAGACCCAATCAAGCACACACTGCCTCCTTTGCCTTCATCTCATGATACTAATATTAAGCTTTTCAACAATTTCCTCTCACTCTGCAACCGTTAGCAACCTTGGAAGTCATCGAAACGCCACTCCTAGTCTCCTGAGACGTCGCTATCGGTTTCACGTTGGTGCCCCCAACATCTAAACCGTATGCCAAGTCGGGCGGTAAGCGTCGCTCGCCAGAACTATGAGATTCAAAGCCGTGGATGCATGCTGTGTTTGTAAGGCACATACGGGATCTAAGTGTGGTTGTTAACTTGACCTCATCTGGCCAATGAGATGGATCTTCAAATTTCACCTTACGAGATTTCCCGAGACTCGATGGCTAGCTGGTGTATGTATAGCACAAAGTTATCGAGCAGAAAGCATACTTGGCTGAGATATCAGTTAACGGCCGTCTGCATGCGGTTTGACTGAATGAATCTGTAAAAATTAGGGAGGATAGTTTTACTTGCAGAAACTTATAATTTCATCCTACTCACCCACCGATTGGACTTCGGATGATGGAAAGGGTAAATTCGACCAAAGGCTCTCAATTTGGCTACGTAAATCAAAACCTTGAGATGTAGTCACATTAGCAGATAACTTCAGTGGTCAGGTAGGAAAGCTGTATCAATTGGAAAGGCATCTTGGAGGTATCTACCGATCCCCATGCCATCGAACTGACAACGGTCACAATGTTATTCTGACAATCACTTGTTTCTGGCCAGTACTAACTCCAAGCAGAAGGGCATCAAACCAACGGTGGATACAGATAAGTAATTGTTGGGAAGAGTCGATGGAGTATTGCCGCTTTTTCTGGGATACCTGTTTGTACTGTAAATACGCGTTAGTAAGAGCACGTAGTATTTGCACCTGATTGATTACAGGAAACACTGCAATCAAGCGTTTGCTTGTTCAACAGGAAGATGAGAAGCTCATTTACATGTTTGAAGAAGAAATAGTTAAGCGTTTATCTCAACATGGTGAAAATTCTTTTCTTGATAAAGTCAAGCCTAATATTCGGTCTACTGTGAAAATAGCGATGAAGTCAGTTAACCTACATTCCTGCATGGTGTGAGCGACCAGGAATCGCCAACCGCCCTCATAACTTTTTCAGCACTCAAGTTCCTTCAGATCATGACCAGTCTCCGATATCGTTAACTTCTAATCTTTCCTTACATTTCTTGGTCAATATTCCTACGTTATCGTTATTTTCTCCTAAGTCTCCAACTGTAGATAACGATTTGAGTCCACGCAACCACCCTCCTTAGTCTCCTATGCTGTAAACTACATACCGGAGCTTTCACTGTCTACATCTGTCTAATCGGACAACATGCTTTATTAGCCAAAACTCTGGTACCTCAGGCCATAGATGTATGTTGTGTTTGTGAGACATGCATAAAGTACGCAAGTGCGGTTATTCACTTAACCTAACCCGACCAATATCGTGGATTTGCAAAATCATCCTTCGACTATCTCAAGATTCGATGGTTAGTTCTCACTTTTGCAGGTTTAATGGAGGATTGAGTCTTAAGTGGGAAAGTTCATTGATAGATTGGATCCCAGTTGACAATCGCTTGTGCACTGTTTGTCTGAAAGGCACAGTGAAGACTGAAAAGGATAATGAAATTAGCCATTACCGCTTTTTTAATCTCTGCTTATACACCCACTAACTGCAGTTTGGCTGAAGCAAAACGCGAGTTTTACCTAAGGCTGTTTAGCCTTCTACTTAAAAACCAAACTTCCGGATGTGGTCATTGCAGCAGTTGATTTCATTTCACATTTGGATGAACTAAAGTCAAAAAGACTTCCAGGTGGTCCTGTCTAAATCCTAAATAAACGGAAAAATAATGGCAATTACCCGTTACAGCTGTGCTGAGACAACCCCCTATTTCTGGCAAACAACTTCAGATATAAGTGAAACATTGCCTGACGTGGTGCTCATCAACCTTAACTCAATGGTGGACATAGACCATATAGCTAGCAATTATTACTGGAGAGGGTTGGTGGAAGATTGTCATTCCTTCTGGAGCACGTCTTTGGACAGTGGTCGTGCGTCGGCTTGGTCACGTTTATTACTGATTTTGAATAGATGTAGAACAACGATAGCAGCAAAGCCATTGCAAGTGTAGCTCGACTACGAGGGCACTAAGGTTGCTTTTAGTGAAGATCTGGCTAGAGAGTTATTGGAACAGGACAGTGTGATTCATTTAGAATCAACCCGGAGAAATATCTAGTCTGCTGTAGAAAGAATGTTAAAAACCGTAACTAAACCCCAGGAAATAGTTACAGTCAGCAGATCTCAATAGCTTGTGAATTGCTGAATGAACATCAATGCTTTTCTGCAGAATTCGAGTGCAATAAGGAGCTAAAGTAACTAAAATGTAGACTGATGAGAAGTCTACGCAATAACGGCGAGCAGTGCTGGAAAGCGAAGGCTAAGGAGAGGAAAAAGGCCTGGACTATAGTTAACGGTAAGCAGTTATTTGAACTTACCAATTAAACTATGGTGAAAGGTCAGTGGTTCATGAGAACATAGAGATGGGGGGTGGGGCTATCATTCTCTTGCTGTAGCAATGATGAGCAGAAAACCTGGAGGGACAGTCCAAATGGACGTCAGCTAGTCTTTGGTTGCTCGCCATCCAGTCAGATCCTGAATGGAACTCTAAGATAGGTCCTGTAACTTGTGTATAGGTTGAGAACGCTGTAAATAATCGGGAACAAGAGAGGACAGCAGCAACAGATGACCTTACCCCAGAGGTATTTAAGGACTGCAGTCGAGGGTTATCAGTTAGACTAACTGGAGTATTAGCCAGGGTATGGAAATCAAATAGGGACACTGCTGACTGGTCTCAATCAGTGATTGTCTCAGTCTTCGGGAAAAGTGAGAAATTATCTTGTTAATCATCATGGGGGAATCAGCCTTACGAAAATAGCTTCTAAGATTAAGGTTCTATAATTATCAGATATCTGAGTGGAGTTCGGGAACGTCAAATGCGAGGTAACCAGCTAGGTTGGGTGAAGATGATGACAGAATGTTAGTTTTTTGGATGCCTTAAGTGGCAATTTGAGAACGCTTAAGACACTTCTTACCACTTCAATGGGAATCGATACTACATGACTAGTCTGCGTTGGTGCTTTTTGTAGCAATAGAGAGTAAAGGGGTTAAGCGCGTTGACCGTTTCAATTATCGTGCAGGTCGGACTGACGAAACCACTGCATGGATGCAAAAACTTTATTAGCTTTCGCAACCTTACGCCATTTATGACGCCTCCGTGATATTGTCTGTTGAGTGTCGAGTGTACTGCAGTGCATTTTACTCTGTTCTACTATATGGTTATAGAACGGTCATTAAAGGTAAAGGACATCAGAGGGCTTCAGTTGTTAAACCACCGTCGCCTTCGTAGCATAGACTGTGTCATGGTGTCACCACACTAGTAATGTAGAGTTTTAGGTAGTTGAGGAAAGTTACATGATGAGATTTCAAACCACCATCGACTGATGTGGCTAAGACGTGTGTTGCTGACGGGTAGTTAAGGTTCCCCTCATCGTGCAGTGTTGGTTGAAGTGGGTTCAGGCTAAATAAATATTGTAAATGATCAAACTAAAACATGACGTTCGTCCATGAATTCTCTGAATTTTAGTCTAGACCATGTAAGGGAATGTAGGCTTTCTAGGTGGGGTCTACGTGGCAACTGTAATCGTTGGTCGGCTCAGATGTGGCTCAGAATTGATCTCAGTTGCGTAGCTGTATTAACTCCTTGGTGTCTCCTGAAGTTTGAACATTTTCACTTACCTTCATTTTTTAGATTTCTTCTATACAGTTTTGTTGACCTTGATATTACTTTTTGGTGCCCACTTGTTCTTTGCTTACTACTGTAAAGTGTGGCAAGTTAAATGAACTGATGGACTTCTCTGCGAAGTTCTACGTTGATTTAGTCTGTCTCTGTAAGCGTTGATCGTTGACTGGATATCAGTGACCGTTGAGTCAGGCAGTGTTCATTTTGTTTTTTCAAGTTACTACTGGTTCATAAAAATGAATAGATTTAAGATTTCATCCATGCGATTGAAAGTCGTATTCAGGTCAAGAAATATAACTAGTTGGTTGCAGGTCAGCGTGCTTATGATCTAAGACCCTGTTGATATATCTATGGTTAAATTTTAGACCTGTTCGCTTTTTTCAGACTTGCTGTTTTCACTTTAGTGTCTGACGATAATAACAAAAAAAACTCTAGGTACCGTTTCCATGAAACTGATTCATCTTTTATCATCACGAGGATTTTTGTCATTTCTTGAAAACTGGAACAATCAGCAATTGAGGTCAGTGAGGGAATATCATCTTTGATGATTGTAGGTGATGTGGCTTAAAATCAATCGCAGTGGCGGTGATATTTCTGGGTCTTATCTTCAAGATAATCGTTATGTCCCAGTTGTTTGGTCTAATCCTCTCATTTTGTCTCAGCTTTCTGTTGCTTTCAGTCATGTTATTTTCACTTCCTTTTATGTTATCCAACTTAAGGAACTGGTTCGAGATATAAGAAATTGAACTATTACACCGCAGTTCTAGGTTGTATGTTTATAGTCTGTCTTGGAAGAGAAGCCTAAAAACTGATAAAGCGAATATAACAACACGTTCAGGGTCGTTTACTAGGATGAAAACAACACTGTATGAAGGCTGATAATCCATCTCGTTCTTTTAGATTTTTGTGAGTGGAGCAAATTTGTGACACTACAACTAATCGGCTGTAACTCGTATGCATAAACTGATGGGCCACAGTTCTTCAAGAAAAAAGATATAATAGTTTAAGTTATTAGATGCCGAAGAAAGCTGATTATATCTAGATAAATAATGCTGCTTTCATAATTTGATTACAGATATTGAATGCTAATTTAAAGTTAGACTTTTAAATAGTGTTTAAACTTGCATGTTACTACTGTTTTACAATTTTACTCAATAAAGTATGACTGAAGGCGCCCAACAGGCACTTCGACGAATCATGGAGTTGTATTCACGAACAACTCGTTTCGCACTGGCTTGTAACGATTCATCCAAGCTGATTGAACCAATACAATCAAGGTGCGCTGTTCTACGTTATGCTCGTTTAACGTCAGCTCAAATTATGGCTCGTTTGTTGGAGGTTTCGCGATCCGAAGGTGTGTCTTATACAGAAGAAGGCTTGGAGGCGGTTGTTTTTACAGCTGACGGCGATATGAGACAGGTGAGACCAACTGTGTTACTTTTAATCTGTGGTGGAATCGCAGTGAATAAAAATTGCGATATTTTGCTTCATTAACTATCTAGCTTCTAGCTACTCATATCTCTTGGAATGGTCTTCTGCTGAAGTTGGTAGCCATATTGCTTTAATTTGCGCATAATAGAACTACGCTTCAAATGCATCACATTTCTGAACTTTGTATGACACATGGTTAGAAAAAACTGTAGTCTCATGTCTTCTGCTCATTCTCTAATGCATAGTCGAATATCTTATCAGTGCTATAAATGATGCGAGCTGGAAAATGTCACGGGAGCATTTAGTATCCGAATTGAGATTTCTTCAGTGTTATAGTTTCGAAGGCTAATAGTTCATATATATATATATATATATATATATATATATATATATATATATATATATATATTTTCCGGAACGAATTTAATACGCACGCTTAGCTGCTAGCTAACTTGGTACGCAAGAGCCACTGATTGCAACCCCGGGACGAATAAAGAGAAGACCTAAGCTGGCAGATGGGAGAGTATTAATCCGAGAATATAATAATAATTCAATCCAAAAGACGTGAATAAGTATACACATGAAAAATGACTTTGTCCTCAATTTGAGGTATTTGCATAGTAAGAGTAAAGATTAACCAATTAACGATTTACATTACAATAGGGGCGGGAAGTAGACTACTAGTCATACCGTAAAAATGGTGTGGGAATGACACGTCAAAATGTTCAGATCAATAACAATGTTTTATACAAAACTGGGGCATCACAACAGTTAGCATCCAGTTTATTATGACTATTGCAATGTTCGAGATGAAGGGGAAAATACATTCCTGTCCTTAGGCTGTTAGTGTAGATCAGTTCTAAAGCATTATCTACACTTGACAGGCGTGAAAGGCATGTCAAAGTACTCAGACCTTTGCTTGAAGTGATTAGAATACTCTGCATTTTGTCAGTGTTTTGCTTAAAAAAAACTATAGCCCCTGGATACTTCAAGCTAACCAGCTACCTTCCGCGTAGTATATCGACTGGTGAAAGTCGGAGGTATTGGTATTTAGAGTTTATCTATCAGAACGTCTGCGACAGAGTTGAGTAGGAATGGGGACAATTTTCCCTCAACTAGATAGTTTGAGTTCGAATGAGTAGTTTTGATTTTTCATTGTTATTATAGAAGTTAGTAGAATCATGTCTTTCGGATAATTTTTATTCATCACCGAAATGGAAAAACAGGATTTTTGGATGCACTTATGTTCTAATATCTACCAATGAGAATAGTTAGAGATCATTATATAATCGGAGCAATGTGACTTCAGTACTAAAATTAACTAACTTTTCTGCATTACACCACAGACAGTTGGTAGTGCAACGAAGGAATTCTGAATAAAGTTCCTATTTTGTTTGGAGAGAGAGAGAGAGAGATGCATAACTAGGGAAGAAATTAATATCAAGTTATATACAGTAATCTTTTAAACTACACGTAAATAAACAATTTATGACGATCAACACGCTAACACAAATCTCCTTGAGTAATAGTGAAATTATATATTCTACATTATTAGCTATCTAGGTGTAGTAAAATGGTGATAGATGTTGGTAGAAAGCTGTTGTGGGTTCTTGTCTCATTCATCCTCAGAATTGAAACTTACAGTTGGTTTGGACACCTTATTTTTTCGATGTTTGCATCAATCAGCACTCTTCACTCTAGTGACTGTGTGTAATCGAGTGATACCATTTTCCTAGACATAGAGTTTAAAACAGTAAAAAGACGTTTATCTAGCTACTTATTTGTGCTATTAACAATGTAATCTGCAGTTTACATGAACTCCCAAAGTGTTTACTTACCTTGGTTACGACCGCTTTCATCACATACTATTGTAGAAGTTTGTGCAATATTCCGAAAACTTGTGTCGAATCCGTACCAACAGTGGAGGATTGTATTGAGTTGTTCATGTGATATTTTTTATTTGTTACAAGTCGCTCAACCTAGCAACATAATCACCTTTCGCCAAGCGGATATCTAAATAAAAATAAGTGCTGGTGAAACTTTTAGCTAGATCTCAGTAATTAAGTCAACTTGTTAAAAATTTCACTGCCATGAAATGGAACTTGAGATGCTAATTGAATTTCTTGACAAAGTAGTCCAATATTCGTGGTACAAGAAAGTCGTTAATGTATTAAAATTAGATAGAGGCTCATCGCAATAATAATAAAGCTAAAAACGGGCTAGGTACAAAAGGTGTTCAAGCTCAATGTACTTCTCGATAAACATGCGTAGGTGTGTATTCTTCACAAACCAAGACTCCTGTATTGAGTCCGAGTAATTGTTCTCTTGTTGACCTTACAGTTGAAGGGTTTCCAGAATGTCCTTACGTAGCTTTAAGGCGAAAATTGCAACCACGCCTGTATCGCACTGAAACATATTCGGATCTGTCGTTTGTTTACTCCACATTTCTAAATTACGAGCATTTTCCCATAAAGACACTTAACTAAAGAAGTTTTAATTATTTCGTTTGTCTGTTGGAGTTTATTAGAAATATCTCTTCGCAATTTCAAAATGACATATGCTCCTTTTAAGCTCATGATTTAAATTACCGATAGAAAGCGGCCTACATGAAAATCAACATTTTAGATCATCAGCCGCTAAGGTAGAAGTTTTAGATTTCAACTTTTTATTTATGTGTTACTCTGTGACCAGAAAAAGCCTTGTTGAACAATTTTGTCCTACAGTTAACTTATCAAAATAAGCATCCGATTTTTGATCTAGTGGTTTTATATGTTCATGGAAACTGTTTATAAATGAAATTGTTTTGTCGAATAAAGTGTCTTTCTTAAGGTCATAGGCCGATCTTTGTCTTCTGGTTTTCTTTACTCAGTGAAGGTTCTGAGGGAGAAAGGTCGCTATTTGTATCCAGTGTCTCATCGTATATTCATTATTATCCATTCGGTCACTTCAATTATCCCTGTTGCCTTGCATGTGGGTACGTTTTCCAAATGGTTAGTCGTAGAGTTCCACAAAAGAGTGAACCTTTTTATTTTACATAACTACTCAGTAGTGTGGCACCAATGTATGAAGTCTCTGACTGTTGGTTTAAGCCATGTAGGACGATGCAGACTAGGTGGTTGGGGTCCACGGGACAAGAGGAACCAGTGGTTGCAGACCTTAGGTGATATGGCTCAGAACCGAAGTCAGTGGCGCAGATGTATACACACATTATCCTCATCTTAACGAGGCTATACCGAATCTCACTATTTTGTCACTCCTCTTTCCTTTCTTCTCGTACTTTATATTTCTTTTGACTGCATTCACTTATCTTCATCCTTCACCTCACTACCTTTTTACTTGATGTGCTGATATGAGGTGTGGCAACTCGGACCGTTACGCAGTAATGCCTGGTCCTATGTTGATAATGATGATGATGATGAGTGTAGCAGTGAGTTAGGAAACACGTGAATATTGTGATAGAAATGAATTGTCATGAGACAAATAAATACAAATGAAACGATTTCCAAGATATTTGGGAAATTATATGCGGGTGTGTATGAGCTGTCGTAACCTATTTCGAACGATTAGGAGATTCTTATTGACTATAGATTTTACATCTGTCAGCAATCAATAACCTTTTCAAGATTGTTTTCATGTCTTAACCAACTTTAGCCCCAATATAAGTAACTTTTACGGCAGTAAATATCCTAGGGCGGGGTAGGTGATCACTCGGCATACGTAGCATAAACTCGGTCACCTGAAGTTCATTCTAGCTGAGAACCTAGTTGTCTGATATATCAATCGTTGTTGTGTAACTGCATCTTTTTCACACCGCATTTAAATCCAAACTTCACCATTAGTTTAAGTCAAACTCTATCTACACTAGAGAGTAAGGAATGTTATTTCCGCGTAACTATTTCTTTTAAATGAAGTATATCTACAAAATCCCACTGAGGTAGAAAAATTTTGGATACTTGTACAGGTTTTATTCTCTGAAGAAGCGATTTCCACGAAGTTGCGAAGCGTCTGAAATTTATTTTCTTCATTAGGATTTTACAAATATATATCATTTATAATTCATTTACCCAGTACTCAATTTATTCAACTCTATCAGGTCAAATTTTGATCCTGAAGTTCATAAAAAAAACTTTCCTGAGAAAGAAATCACCCAAATATGTGGAAGAATAACTAAAGCTTGTTGATTTCTCACTTTTGTGGGGTTTATGTTTTCATTTTTGGTAGTGTTCATCTGATCACAATGCATCTCTGTCAAGTTTGAAATAAGGTTCCTTTGACCTAACAAAAAGTGTATGTCCAGTAATAATAATATTGCCAAGGATCGCATTGCGCCACAGTTGTGTTTGTGAATGGAGTTGCTTCATTTTCAGCATATTTCGTTTATTTAAGTGCAAATATTGTGTAAGAGGAAATATTTCCTCACTAGATTTGTTTTTATAATTTCATAATATTCGTCACTTTACATTATAGGCTTTGAACAATTTACAGTCAACATATCAAGGTTTTGGGATGGTTAGCAGTGATAATGTTTTCAAAGTAAGTATTACTTCTGTGTGCACATTCAGTAGATATTATTGGTATTTTGATAAGAACTGTGGATTATTGTTCACGTTACAAAATTGGATTCCCGTCCACCTACTTCTCTTGAAGCTTTTGTATTGTCTCTTTAGTCTGGGTCAAATATGCACATAGCTATGCTTGGTGTTTGCATTGCACTATTCGTTTTAATAAACTCACTAAATTGGTCGTCATCAACGTAGTACGATGAAGTGTTTTTCGCAACACATGCAACAAGCTATCGTTTATTTTCAGAGGTGATGATTGAAGTCGAGAACTTCCAATATTATAAAAGCCTGTGTTTCAAAGTCTACCATATGCTTAGTTTTGTGTCTAACACAATCGTCTTCCTTGATCTAAAAGAGTTACTTCACAGAAAATCCTTTTTATCCTAGTTTGAAATTGCATGTTAAAATGCAGTTTGTTTATGCTTTATTTGTTTTTATTGACTTTCTAGACAATTTATATTCTTACAGTACATGTTCTTAGACTGAAAACAATCACTATTATTATCATTATTATTATTATTATTTATTACTATCAATAGTCGGGTATTTGATTTTTTGATGAAGGGTTTTTTATATATTGCCGAGTATATGCAAGTGTGCATGATAGCAGGGTTTCTTTGTTCCAGGTGTTGTTGTTCAGATTTCCTAGGTTTATATAGTAAATCCTTAGTGTAAGTGATTTGCATTGTCCTGGGATTTGAAGATCATGTCGTACCGGTGTAAGGTTAACAACAGTAGTATTCCTCTCTGAAGACCATTATTCCCATCAACATCGCCATTTCTCTCCTATAAGGCTAGCCCAAAATTGTTTATCTCACACTGACCTACGGCCTTTTGTTGTGGTTGGTAAGGTTTTTTAAGAAGCAGTCAAAACTCTAGATGCTGACGATTTTAAAAAGTCCATAGGTAACCAGTCGCATACAGAATTCAATTAGGCTTTTTGTTTGCACAATAGTAACTCCTCTTTGATTTACATCGAAATTTCAAAATTCGCATTTAGGAGCTGAGAAGTAATAACTACCTAGACTTATAATAACACGAAATCATCTGTTCTCACTATCTCTTTCCACTCCCAGCGTTGTTACTGTCTCAGCATCCTAAAACTCCTAACAGTAAGGTTTTTGCTTGAAGAATCTAATCATCATGGTAATGAGGCTGTAATAATAATGATAATAATAAATTCAATTCAACGCAGTACATTTTATGTATTAGTCTATGAGCCACGCTTCGTACGTGATGTCTTTAATACTACCCGGCTGTCCAGGTCCAAACAAGTGGGGTGTGGTCAGAGTTCAGGCCCCATTACTTGAAAGTTGAGTACCTAGATCGATGAGCCATAGCCCCACTTCTCTATTTGTGATAGTTTCTTACGCAGCCACTGACTACAGTTTAGGTGGTGCATGAATCGTCTTTTACCATGAAGCTGTCATTCTTTTTGAAAAGATCGAGTGTATAGATAGTCACATGAGCGGGTGCTCTTGTTGTGTGACTGAACTAAACAATAAAAATCAGAATTATGTTTTCGAAGTTATGTTCCAAACAAGTTTTCAAGGTGAGATATATTTACCACTGTGTTTTAAAAACAGTTAGGGTTGGCTTCGCTAAAGATAAACGAATCAGAAACAAAACAGATGAATCCAACATCCTTTAGAGTATTATAACTTGCGTGAATTGCGAGAAGCGTTATATTGGATTGATTAGATACTATCCACTTTTATAGCGATGAGAATATATATATATATATATATATATATATATATATATATATATAACAGTGACATTTTATATTACTATCATCATCATTGTTATTATTATGAGAACAAAATCTTGGTACAACATAGGAAACAAGATACACCATATAAATAATAAAACAACATTATGGAGTTGCACGAGACGGAAGAGAGAATAGCAACAAAAGCAGAAGTGAGTTACTGAAGAAGCAGTCTCAAAGATATATCAGAAACATTCATTATTTTAACTTTACTTTCCGATAATCGAAGAAAAAAGAAAACTGCCTCACGGTCATTACCTGTTTCAATCGTGAGTCGTCTGTTATCATTTAAAGCCATCGAGTTGTATGGTCTCTTAGACTGCGAAGATATGTGAGTAATGGCACTGAGAGACACTGACCCAACACAACTATTCTTTGTCTCATTATGCCACGTCGTACACTGATCTCTTCGCTTCTAATAACTATTCCCAAGGCAAGTGAAGAGTCAATAAATGACAGTCACCATCACTCCCAAACATGCGCCATTACCTCATCTCAGAATTACTGACATAGTGTTTCCACTGAATGCGAGTGACACAACGGAAACCAAAAAGGCCAAATCGACATCAATTTGGAGAGGCCAAGTTTCATAGAAGTAGAGTAGAACTATCCTCATCGATGCGCCCTGCATCCGACTTTTATAAAAAAGTTAGCGTCATGACTGTATTAAAGGTGGTCTTGGTTGGCGTATGCTTATCTGGCTTTGCGACATACGTTTGGAAATCTCATAAGTCGCACTTCCATCAGCACTCACACAACTACCCAGCCACACAAAATTTTCGGAAAGTTCCAAGCGTGAGCGTACATGAAAGCTGCTGCCAATTTTATGGAAGGAGTTCGCACTTTGACGGTGCGAAGCACATCTCAAAGATACGGAAACTGGTGGTGATTTGAGTAGCTTGTACGTTATAGCGCAGTAAAGCGATATCACCGTGTACTTTGCATCAAAAGATTTTCCATCTGACAGGATATCTGCAACAACGGAAAGCACGTGCTTCAGAGCTGTCTAAAAAATGTTGGCGGGAAAGTTAAAGAGAATTGACGAAGTTGAAAAGCCTAGACTAACCCGACTGATAGTTTGGAACGACGAAGAGAACTGGTTGCATGTTCTTACTGTTTCTAAAGTATTTTGTAAATAGTCGCCTACATGTTAACTAACTTCTCAGGAATATCCTCCGAAAGAATCCCAGCGCATAGCTCTTTCCCATGAATCTAAGGCATGGGTTTTCAGCCCACAGTATATGTAGTAGTGTTCGATCATTTGGCCGGGACCAAACATAATATATCCACAATTTGAACGGAACCCTGTTTGCCCCTCCAAAGCTTACGAATCATAAAAGCGACCAATACTTCAGAGAATACTAAGACTGATATTCCGATTGTCGCATATGTTACGTAGACTTTTTCTAAAGAAGGGTGGAACGATGACATTTTCTCTGAGCGATGAAACAATTTGTCATACCTTCACCAACAATTTAGTCACTTTTTCGACTACAGTCTCATCTTCATCACTAATAGGAGTTAGTTGTTTGCGGTGAATGCCTTATGGCTGTTTAATATTTTGAATTCTTTGTGGATCTTTGGATGGTTTGGTAAGTCGGTGTAAATTGACCACACAGCACACGAAAATGAAGATGGTGTCTTTGAGACAGTAGGCCAAATGGGTTGTTTTTCGAAGTGCATCACTCAGCGATACAGGTATTCACAAAGATTTTTGACTGGCGTACTACCTACGTGACAAACCGTTCCACTGATACTATTTTTCTTACTACCGAAGGATTGAATAAGCTCGAACCGTTTCCGATCATTGCCAGATAGAGCTGTTATTTCCATTTCGCTTGCGCGTTCTAGCCACCAAAGCTCAGGTTACCCATGGTCTGCCGGAATATAAGCGTCATTAGGGTCAAGACAGGTGCTTCAGAAAAAACAGCAGTAGTTGTTGATTTCAGTGGGATATATTTTAGTTCAACCTTGACTAGCAGATTGAGGATACTGCACAGCAAAACTGTGACAGATTTACTGGAAGTTGCTGCTAGCTAGAAATAGGTTGTGATGTGCACAAACTGCAGAAGACGGTCTGTATTATGAGACATGTAACTGATTCATTCCCATTGTCACACTAAGCACTGCTCCTTTGAACCTAGAAACTCAATCTCTGCATTTGACTCCCTGGGTACCACTATGATGTCTATCGAGTGCATCTGGTAGAGAAGGTTAGCCAGTTAGTGGTAGAACTTATCCTCAACGGAATCCTGGTTACAGTTGGGGCATAGAAAGATGATGAGAAATTGTTTCCCTTTCCCGTTACTTCTCACTCCAAATGGACGTTCTAGCTCAACAGTAGAACGATGACAGTTGATAGGGATTCAGTTGACTGGTGTAGCTTCGGTTCTGGCACTTGACACGATACTAACAGCAACAAGACCAGTTGCTGACGCCACAGGGTCCCCAGATGAGCGTACTGTAAATACACTTTTCCAGCTAACAGATGGCGAAGTCGTTCGAAGTACTTCACTGGGATGTTGTAGGTGGGTCTCTCAAATACAGTATACACCAACGTCGAGATTTCCGGAGGTCCTAGCCAACCCTTTCTGAAAGGAATCAGTGGTTGAGGACTCTTGGTGACATGGCTGGAAATCCGTCACAGTGGCGTAGATGTATTCCCTCCTTGACATCCTCTAAAGTTGGAATATTCGCACCAACCTTTTTTCAAATTGTTTATTTTCTCACACTACTTTATCTACTTTGATATCACTCTTCTATCCACCTGTTGTTTGTGTACTATTGTGAGGTGTTGTAACTTGAGTCGAAGGACCTGTGTGCGAGGTTCTACGTTGATTTTGTCTGTCAGTCAGTGTTTCTGTTGTCCGGTCCGCATCAAGGTCCAAACGTTGAAGATGGTCAGCTTGATTGGTGCACGTGGTTCCGAGAATAGTTGCGTCAGATATCACACTGTAGAGTAGCCTTCTAGAAGCAACCGCTTGGTGACCTAAAAGGTTACAGAAAATCCACGAATATGTTCAGTGACAAGCAGCTGAATCAGACAAAGATAAATGAAAAATTAAATTTGAGAATGATAACGAAAAGACAACATATTTTATGAAGTAAAAATAACAACACTGAATATAGTGGAATGATGAATTAGACAATTAGTTGCATTGTGGCTCTCATTCATGCAGGAAAATCTGATAAGCCCATGGAATTCGTTCTGATTCATAGATTGTGTGTGGATCGTGATGCTGTTAAGACGTCCAGGCTGCAGCAAATGGTTGTCTTATGAAACTACTTCTTTGACCTTGATGTCTGGTCCACAAGGTAGTGGAGCAACATGGAATGTTACTTCCCCTTGTTTGCAGGTGACCAAGGTAGGCACTTCTCTTTTCTGGATGCATTTACATCACTCGTTCGGAGTCAGGGTTTCACACTTCTCCTGCGTGTACCTCCAGATACACCAATCCGGTTATAAAATCGAACGTTCGATTTCGCACTGCCACTTCTACTGAAAAATCCCCATTATGTGAAGGTAGTGAGTAGGACTTAGATATTTGTCTAATTGTCTACCGAGGAATAGATATATAAACTGCATTATTGTATAGAACAAGCGTCTAAATGTGACGTTGTCAGAACCCAAGATTTTCAAACACTGAAATTCAAAGTATATATATAGTGATGTCAAAGCTGCTGAAGCTCATGGAGAATCGTGTAGAAATTCTTAAACCTAGCGTATCATTTAAGCAAGCATTGGTAGTGTTACTAAAACAAAACACTGACAACTGAAGCTTCATATATATAGCAACACAACCCCCACTAAATCATCAAACTACCTACAAATTTCTTTTCACAGACTAAAATGTCACACTACCTTGGTCATTAGCTTCTCTAACTAAGAATCGACACTGTTTCCTATAATTTTTTCAAACTTACTATACATTCGTCATTGAAAAATGTGATGAGAAGTTAGCAAGTAAGTTCAACTTTTTTTAACAGTTATGCAAGTTATAACAAGTGCACAAGTTATTAAACCATATCGCAATAAAGATTTTTTGATAATTTTAATTGATAATAATTGAACTCGTGGTGATCTTGATTCTTTTTCAGGTCTGTGATGAACCACATCCAATGCTAATAAAACAATTATTAGATCATTGTTCCAAGGGTGAGTTATCTGCTGCTCATAAGATCCTACGCCACTTATGGACTTTGGGCTATTCAGCAGAAGATATTATCACTATCACTTTCCGAGTCTTAAAAAATCATCCAATGGAAGAATATTTGAAATTAGGATTTATAAAAGTGGGTTTTTTTTAATAAAAAGTTGACCGTAAGGTATCTCTGATTTTTATCGATTTATTTTCTGAAACTACTTTTTGTTGTTAATATTCATATATTTTACCGAACCAATGGCAATGGCTACCATTTTTGGGATTGAGGTACTTTGGTTTACTCTTACAGGTCATTTGCATATATCATAGTTGTGAATTAAACTGTATCACAAATACAGATGACTTGGAGATCTGACGGAAAACAGAACTTACCGAATAGCTGTTCATCCGTTGTTTCTAGTTTCCTATCAATTCTATCGGTTGACTTTGAGACAGTTTTATGTTTCAAAATCGACTGAGTCGGACGTGACATTGTATGATCACTAAGTTTACAGAAGAAGATATTCTTTCTCAAAGTTTGGTGGTTATACTTCGTAAAAATATCCGGAGCTATTCCAACCTTTAAACTTTGAAAGTCATAATATCAGTCTAAAAGTAGCCTTAGTAACTGATAGTAAAAAAAACCAATTTCGCTTTCAGTTATCAGGATATAGTAAGCATATGTTTCAACTAAAATGCAAAATTTAAGGTCAAGGATGAGTATCAAGGCAAGAATTTGGATTAATTTCGATGTATACCAATGATTAGTAAATCATGACAGTGTAATGTTAATAAATTGGCATCTTTATTGTTGAACAAATGCATATTTCTGAACCGTAATTTCATTCCAGTCCACCTAGTTAGGCTTTGATGAATTGAGATATACAATCGTAATCAGGAACGGGAAATCTAAATTTTACTTCAATTCTCATATTTCAAAGGTGATCAACTAGTATTTTATTGTTGATCTGGGCGACTAGCAGAGGAATATAAGGCGCTTGTTTCGTCCCATTTAGGACTCGTCTGCTGGATGTACTTGCACCCCAGTGATATTGTCCCCACTGCGACTCGAACCCAGTACCCCTCGTTTCAAATGGTATTGCATTGGTTTATGCGAAGATTTGAGTTACTGACATACTGATTTCAGATGCATCTTACTAATTATGCTACTAAAAATCATCATACTTACACACTGTTTTATCTGATCGTATATAAATCACTGAGCGTATAACTATCTCACACTGAAGTTGCACAATTTTTATATTGTATGGTCAACCACTTTCTGGTTTACAGCGCGACTGAAACTTCTTTATTATAGTAATTACAAATTTAGAAAATTAGGAGATTGATTTTATTTTGTTTTCTATCGTTAATCAATATCATTCCTTGTTAGCAATTTGAAATGTACTCATCTTCAGTAATTGAGCCGCTGAACATCATTTTAAGACTTTATTTGAATTAAATATGACACCTAGATGGAAAAATCCACATAGAATCTTACACAACATTGTGTAATTCCAAGTTCTCACACCCCACAGCAACGTACAGATAAAAGTTAATCAAAATGAGGCCAAAGCAGGCAAACGTTTATTAACCAGACGGTGAGGTACAAATAAATAAAGCTTAATGAATGTGTTCGCAGGAGTGTGTACATCTGTACCATTATAGTTGATATTAAGCCACTGACTCTTATCGAATCAAATGACTCAAACCAACAGTATTAGACTCTATCCATTAGTGCCACGTATTCGTCTGGTCAGCTCTGGCTTTCTTCCAGGATAATCCTTCAGTTAAAGTTGTACGTCAATATACCTGGTGACTCAGTATGGGAAATGTGTCCTAACCACCTCTGTCTGTGATGGTGAACATTGATTGTCTTGTGTAGTACTCTACACCTAACCTCGACATTGCTCACAATGTCGATTCTACCACGTGGGAGCAATAGTACGAGTACATATATATGGTCAGAAAACTAGTATAATATCTCGTGGCGTTCAATGACGATGTCTCATTCTTGTAATAGGATAGAGTAGACTGTTGTGCAGCATAATCCTTTTTAGATACACATTCGGATATCCTGTCGGCATTATGGATGACGCAAGTTGTAGAATGCCACACGAGCGTTTAGTATCTTAACTGATATTTTGTCAGCATCTAGTCTATTATGATTGATGCAACTTTCCAGGTATGGGTAGTAGTCAACATATCTGACTACTTCATTTCCTGTTTTAAACTAGAGGTTGGTGGAATGTAGTCTCCCATCATCGTTCTGCATACACATCAGATGCGAAACGCGTACTGAAAAATACGAAGATTTTTGCTCAACGCGTTCAGAAAACCCTGTATTTTGTCAGCATCTTTTTCCACCACTAGTAGTTAAGAACAACAAGCAAATACCGTTTTCCATTTGAAATCATAATTAAAATTGATAGCCTGTATGGCAGTTTGTTGGCTTTTATATAGTTATTTAGGCTTTGCATTGCCAAACAATGAGCCATTCAATTTGAAAGGAAACGAGAAGACAAATACAAAGGAAGGAATGTTTATTAGTTAATAAGTGGTACAGTAGTCGTTAAATATGGTACACCTTGTACTAAGACAGTCATTTGCAAAATGTGCTTCATTTCCTCTTGATTTGCTCTTCATACGCCCACATTGTCTCTTGCGTTTCTCTGGGCAGAATCCTTACCCATTGCTGGTAATTCCCTATGATTTCTGCCGCCCTCTCAACATATACTTATATCCATTCTTATCGGAAACACCCACTGCTTATACTGTTCCATAGAATTTCATAAGTTGAGAATGAAAATGAAAACATAATTTAAATAAAAGTTATATCCCTGAGTATGCACATTTTTGTTGTTACATATTCTGAAAGCTACGACACATCCAATGAAAACGACGCAGTTTATTTCTTCTTAAAATACACAGCAACCTAATGTAATGATTGATTATTTTTTCCTAGGAAGTTGGCCTCACTCATCTGCGCATATCTGAAGGACTGGGTACATATCTTCAACTAGCAGGCCTCCTTGCTCGCCTTTGTAAGATTGTACTGCCCAAATGAATTTTACGTCCCATTATTATACTGTTTTCGAATGAGTTTTTGTACAACCAACAAATGTAATGTCTCAATTTTCAGCTGTTTTTTTGACACCAGATTCCTTTTATGTATGAAAATATAAAGTTTTTTCATTAAAAAAAAATACAAATCTGGTTTTGTATTTATTGTCTTCTGTAATCCATTATCAACCCGTAAGGTTTGGTATGCCGATACCCAAAGTCGTATCTTAGTTTAAGTTGAATTCCAACATATGTCTCGCAATTTGTTAACTTTTGAAATGATATTTCTTCCTTATATATGTTCATGTACATTGTGGCTAATTTTTTAGTAACTTTTATTGTACTACTGGTAGGAATTTTCTGTTATATTATACTTGAATCTTAGGAATATTTAAAAATATATAATAACATACAGGAAACTGACATTCCATTGTCCTCTATTCGTTATCTGAAGTGGAATAAGGAGACGGGACTGTTGTTTTTTTGTTATGCATAATATTTAACATTATTATGTAATAACCACAGATTTTAGTTCATTCCGCTCCATTTGTATGTTTTCAACCCGGTCGATATGGTCAAGAGATTGACAGTGTGGCACTAAAAAATCTGAAATGTTTCTCATTTGTTTCATATTTATAATCCAATTACTGCATGAATCTCCATGTGAGTTAGAAGACATGTGGAAGTAAACTTGAGTAGCTAAAATAGAATGATATAATTTAGAGATTGGATACATGGTTTGTATTGAGCATGTACTCGAAGTTTTGTGTAGGACTCAATTTCAAGTCTCAATAAGAAAAGGTGAATAGTAGTTATTTAGCATGAGTATTCGATGAAACCGCCTGCAAAATCACGTTATAGAGACACCATTCACTACTATCATTTATGTTTAGAAACCTGTCATGGTTTACGACTGCCTGCTAAATTTCAGTCGTTCAGGGATTTATGAGTTCAAAACGCCCACATACTTTACCGTGAACGTCCTAATTCCCCTACTGACTTATCGCGGCGATATCAAATGACAAAGAAATAACTTATGTTGTCCTGATCTCACTTCAAGTAGTGTTCTTTCAATAATCACTTATAAAATATATGCAGTTCATATCGGTTTAGTTTTGCCCATCAAATTCACTTCAAACAACCTACCTCTGTTGTGGGCTAAACTCTTCTGTTAACATTCCTAATAAGTTTGTGCCGAACTGAGTGAAATGGCCTTATAGTACATAAATTGTTTACAGAATTAAAGCACCTTAAGCTGGCAAATCCTAAACGCCTAACATCGGCCAACATTTATTCAGTTTTGTAATATGGCCGGAGCTACACAACACTCTGGTGCCTTTTATTATGGTCTTGGGTTTTACGAGTCAGTCATCTCCTTGAACCAGTGTGATCTGCATGAGTGGTTTTCATCTGCTTGTCTTTTAGTAGTATATTTTCGACTACGAAATTTTGTTAATATCAGCTGGATGTTCAGTTACACTTGGAACACTGAATGTTTGGAAGTTAGTTACTCAATTGTTATAGTGTGCGATTAAATCACCCAGATCTGCATAAAAACCTCTGAAGTCTTTTACAACCAATTGCGCTGCTTTGAAGTTTCGAAAGGAACATGAATCTACGCACAAATACCAGATTGTTTCAAGGGGCAAAATCAATGGAAGAGACAGTTGAGGAGGATAGCTTATATTTGGTTGGGTTTTGTATACTACTGGAAGCCTGCAGGCGGTTAACACTTTCCCGCTACCCACACCGTGGTAGGCTGTTTCTTCTAAAAGTACCTGAGTGACCAAAGGGTCTATGGGGCATCTACTTGAGGCATGTCACACTCGGCTTTTTATGTTGTTGATTTGAGGTTTGGTTGTTAGTTGTACTTTGTTCATATTTTGACGTTACAATGCATCTGTTATCTTAACGCCTTTTTTACTGAGGAGCAGAGTGACCATCAAAGGTGAAATCGAGTGTCCACTTTCACATATATATCTAACCAAGAATATGTCAAACCATGAACCAAAAAACAGTTGTCGCTATAAAAATTGATACCTTTAAGACTTAAGAGACGTAACTCCGGCTCTAAAGTTTTCGTGTTATCTTCTTGGTTGTTCTAAAAGCCTTTGAAATCCTAAGTAGTTTAGCTTTTTCCATCATAAGTGGTGAGACCGAACAGACTATCGCTTGTAGATTTTTGTAGAGCGAAGTATCTAAAACTGGGGGAAACAGCCACACATTTGCAGTAATTTCATTTCTGTTAGCAACATTATTCAGTTTTTTCATTGAATAAGGAACACCACCTTGCTTTTGTTAACAATATATTTCCACAACTGTACAGTTACAAATCGTGAATAAGCTTTCAGCATACTTATATCCAGTAGGTGATAAAAATATTCATCAGTGGTGAGAGGATATCCCTTGTTATAAAAAGGAGTTTAGAACTGAAAGCAAGTCGAGCATCTTTACGTAGTGAGAACATATGAGCAGGCAGAGATATCAAAATTTCCAGCCTTATTATAGTAAGCAGAACAATAAACAGTTTTCGGTTATGTAGTTGCCGTTTACCATTTTGAAGGGAACGGTAGTTTCTTTTTAGACAAATGCTATTTCGAGTTGTCTGGTCAAAATCTATACACAATCGCTCTAGAGTATTGATTGTCCTGAGTTTGGAACGGATACGACGGAACTACAGTGTTTTGCATTTACATTCATTCATACGTAGTTGTAAAGTGTGATGAGACCTATAACTTCAAAATAAAAGATAAAATGATGCTATCATAGTATGACTTCAAAAAACAAGTAAATCTAGACTAGCAAAATGTAGGACAAGCATAATAATTTGGAAACCAGCAAAGTGTATATCACCAGAAATAGTTAAAAACAACAACCAAAGATCATTTGCCAATTAAAGAAGGGAACAGTATGCAGAACATTCTGGAACGAAGTTCACTCCGCATCCTTGTGGACATCCGTTCAGTAGGCAATTGGCCACACCTATTGTGTGAGGGTTGATGAGGCCTGGCTGCCGAAACCTCGGTTGGTGGGGTGGTTTTCGAACCCGTGACCTGATGGTTGAAAGTCAAGTTTCTAAACTAATGAGCTACAACTCCACTTCAAGGATAGAATATTTTACCATGAAAATGTTATGAATTCTTGAGATGACACTTTCCTCACATATGTCGTTTGTTTTGAATTCATCATAGGTATGAAATATTTTCAAATCTGATATTCATTTATACTGTTAGTCTTGAACAAAAAATAACTGACGCATAAATCATGATATGTTACGCTGGTTCACAGTACTTCTGAATCGACAAAGTTTATCTGTTCTTACTCCACGTAATTTATGCTACAGAAAATACCTTAAATTATATCTGGTAAGCATTTCTGCAAATAGGTAGTACTTCAATTACAATAACTGTCGCAACTTGTAGCGGATAGATTCACCAGTGTAAACATTGCCTATTTATAATTTACTCTAGCACAGCTCTGCAGAAACAGTGGAGCAAGTGGTTCACTTAAAGGTACAGCACGATATAAATATGTGTAGAAGGCCTTCACTTCTTTGATAAACACTTCATAAGAAAAACTACACGTTTGAAGGCATGTGCAAAATATTTTCGCGCGGTGCCATTATATTCAATAGCCCTAACTTGGAACTCAGATGCAACTGATTTAATAATTAACTTCCTTAATCAAACCTGATGGGTGTTATCTTTGTTTGTCCTATAGTAATTGTCATCACCACTATACCGTAAATTAGTTTCATAATTTACTGGGATTCCAACCTTTATATTATTAGATTACTATGCGGCAGTACTTTGTTCCTCTCTACCTTTACACAAGATCTACTTAGGCGTCCACAGTGTCTGACAACTCACATCAGACAAGCATCTACATATTTTATTATCATCTCTATGACTATGTTCTAATTCATTTACTCGAACTAAAATTCTCATAATCTTAATGTCTTCGTACGATCGTAAAGCCTAGTGGAAAATTACATACTCCAAGTTTAGGATGAACTGGTATGACCAAAGGTTATATAACCCAAGTCATTTTTACCGCATGCTCTCAATATGTCCACGCTTTTATGGCTCCTACCAAGGAGGTCGTCATTACCTTTATTTCGCAAGGGTGCTTTCACAAAAGCCAGAGGCGAATGTTCAGTGCTCGTAACTTTATTCATGGATGTAGAGGGTCCACCAAGAAGGAGTAGGAAAATCCTGATTCCAATTCATTGGTACACAGCTTTCAGGACCAGTAGCTCGAGAAACTACTTGGGTCACTGGCAGCAAAGCCTCACATTATTACTCTGTCTTGTAAATGAGACAGTGGTCCTTTACGACAACCACAGGCATCCGGAGAGTATCACAACCTAGATACAAATCGTGAAATAAACATTCAAACTATGCTATTTTCAAATTTGTCTAGAAATACATTCTTGTTCCAGTCAGCTGTTTGTCACCTATAGAAAAATTCTCGCCTGCTTGCAACATTTTCAAATGCTTCGGTAAAGTTGTTTTACTGTGTGGTAATACATCCAACTATTCTGAAACCACAAGTTGACCACCTTCAACGTTCGGACCTTGATGCAAATCGGACATCAAGCAGGTTTGGCTAGGACTTCAGAAAGCCTCAATATTGATGTATACTGTGTCTCAAAAATCCACTTATATCATCCTTTCGACGGATTTACCATCTGTCAGCTGAAAAAGCGTATTTACAGCACGCTTATCTGGAGACCCTGTAGCGTTAGCAAACGATCTTGTTGCTGTCATACCAAATGCCAGACCCAGAGCTGCACTAGTGGACTGGATTCCTATCAGCACTTGTCTTTTTAATGTTAAGCTAGAAATTCATTCAAAGTGAGGAGTAAGTGGATGGGGAAACGATGTCTATTCAATTCACCGTCTATGTTTATGCCCCGACTGGCCGCTACTAGGATGCAGTTGGGGATAGGTACTATCATCAAATGAATTACCTCTACCATGTGCACTCGACAGATATCATAGTGGTAGCCGGGGAATGGAATCCAGGGATCGAGTTACTGAACTCAAAGGAGGGTTGTTTAGGTCGCCAGTGGGAATGAGTCGATTACAGGTTTGATAATACGAAACGTCTTCTGCAGCTTGTGAACATCACGACCAATTTCTAGCTAGCAGAAACTCCCAGTAAAGCTTTCGCCGTTGTTGCGCGATATCCTCATTCTGCTGATCAAGGTTGGACTAAAATATATCCCATTAGAACCAACTGCTGGTAGCGTGGATGCACGCTTAACTGCTGTT